CCAGGCGCCCCTCATTTTTAATAATATATGCACTCCCATGCATTATGCAGCCCTGTTTGGCTCGGGGAAAAGGGCAGAGCTTTGGCAGACATGGGTGGGAGGGAATGTGCTTGTGGGAGGGGTTATCTGCCAGCCAGGGTAGAAGGTGGCTAGAAGTAGAAGCTGGACCTTGCTCGTGGATATGGAGCTGCTGCTTGTGTAGGTTTTCCTTGCCACCTCCTCTCTTCACCTCACCAGCTTCCTTCTGCAGGGAGGTAGGGAAGTGTGAAGAGCAACAAACTGCAGGCAGCAGATGGCCATGTGCTTGTCAGTGGGGGCAATGGGCACGGGTCCCACTCAGCTTATGCTCCCAGTGTGATAAAGATGGACCCCTCCATCTGTGTTCTAGCCACCCAGTGCCAACTGTGGAATAAGGTTTAAGACCGTGGGCTGCTTCTCCATCTGTCATAGTCCCCACATAGGGTCAAGCAAAGGTAGCAGGCCATGGGAAGGGGAGGTACCTATTAAAATTTGATCTCGGAGAAGACTACAGAGTTGGGCCCTGGTCAGAGCTTACTTCCTGTAAAAGGGGATGGGAGAGGTACAGAGTGCTGGGGAGATTGGAGGATGCCAGTGTCCTTGAATGCTTACAGGCCGTCAGGCTGAATGGGCCCAATGAGGGATTTTATAATATTCCTTACTCTCTGGGAATAGTGCAACAACATCTGGACCTTTTTTTTTTTTTTTAATTAATTAAGTAATGGCTACACCCAACATGGAGCTCAAACCCCATGATCAAGAATCAGTGTGCTCTTCCTACCAGCCAGCTAGACACCCCAACTCTTGGACTTTTGACTTTTAATTTTCAAGAATGCATTAACTTGAAAAAAATTTTTTTTTAATTTAAACAAATTTAAAAAAAGAGGGGCACCTGGGTGGCTCAGTCATTGCGTGTCTGCCTTAGGCTCAAGTCACAATCGAACCCCACACTGGGCTCCCTGCTCGGCGGGAAGCCTGCTTCTCCCTCTCACCCTCCTTGTGTTCCCTCTCTAGCTGTCTCTCTCTCTGTCAAATAAATAAATAAAATCTTAAAAATAAAAAGAACATAGTATTTTAGTTCTTGTTAACTGGGCAAGAAAGGTCTTATATTTCATTTTTCTTTCACAACACCATGCACACAAGTGCTAATAAGCATTTGAAAAATGGAGATCTACTCTCTCCCACCAATTCTCCTTTCTCCTGTAAGCTAAAATAAATAAATAAATAAATAAAATAAATAAATCAAAAGTATCTCTTCCTCTTACATCTTCTTAGGAACTAGAACAGGGATGGGTACTAACCCCATTTTAAAGATTCTCATCTCAAAGTGTCCTAGCTGATAATTATCAACCTAATATCTTAACCATACTGTAATTCAATTTCTAAAAGTATGTAGTTGGTACCTACTGTATGGCAGACACTGAGCCAACATTATTTTCTTGATTGGTGGTAAATCTCAGAGTAGTAATAAGAAAACCTAATCATGTGCATCAACCTCTCTGAGCTTCAGCTGCTTCATGTGTCAAATAAATAAATAAATAAATAAATAAATAAATCTTAAAAGTAAAAGGTATGAAAGGGCTTTATTTTTTTTTTAAAGATTTTATTTATTTGACAGAGAAGGACACAGTGAGAGAGGGAACACAAGCAGTGGGAGTGGGAGAGGGGGAAGCAGGCTTCCCACTGAGCAGGGAGCCTGACACGGGGCTCGATCCCAGGACCCTGGGA